ATGTAAATAAATGGGCATGGGCTTCAAGTGACCATTAACTGATCTTTTGTGGTTCCTTTTCTTCTAACCTACCAGCAGCCCCCAGCCAAGATCTCATGACAATCGTCCGATTTCGCTAAATGACTGACAGATGTCAAAATCATGAAAAGCTCTTTATTAAAGAGCTTTCATTGGTGGCCATGATCATGGCCTCCCTGTAGACCCCTGGGTCGATCTAGAGGATTGACCTCTTTACTTGGGGTATTGCCCTTCGACCTGGGCCTTGTAAGCACCCTGGTCAGAGCCTCCTTAAACTTGGGTAGTGTCATGTACCCCAGTTTTCATATGCCCCTGGTACCATCTTGGCTCTCTCTGGCATTCCAGACACGCAGTCTGTGCCAAATGTTGCCTGTCGACCAGAAGGCCACAAGGCTATAAACTGTTTATCACATTCTGCCATGGGTCTGCTGCAAATGCCAGCTCTCTGTGGTGGTATGCCAGAAATACTGACTCCCTGCTGAGAATGACCAGCTTTAAAATGGAGACTCCATATCACAGAACTTTTCTGGTAGTTTTCTGACAACTGGTGGGCTTCTGCCTCCGGTTGTCTTTTAAACTTTCCCAGGCTGGCTGATACTGAGAGCAAACTAAGGCGGTATGCTGGATCCCAGTGCCCTGAAGGGATCCTTTGTGCCATGCAGCCCTCAGCACGATACCTCACACCTTGGCTTCGGTGGACCAGAGCCCTGTTAGCCGTCTGAGGACGTTACCCCCCTCCGCGACGTGGACGCCAAGGGTTGGATTTTGGAGGGGACTAAAGCATGTAGAAAACCAATATTAATCCTGGCTTCTTTGAAGTCTATAAAAAGCTTAATACTGTTACCGATTTTGTCCAATACTTCATGATTCCTTCCAAGTCCATGGCTCCATCATCACAATACATGCAGGTGGTAAATTGTAATTCTCTTCCATTATCTTCTTGAATTCATTTGTAGCAGTAATCAACTTGCACCACTCAGGAAACCACTTCCACCATGAACTAGAACAAATACAACATTTACAATCATGTCAATATTAATTTATAATTGCCTTCCAAAACCTCATCAAACTTACATCTACCTATATTTAACCTATGTAGAATATTTTTATACCTTCTCAAACTTCATATCACTGATGTACAATATTTCGGCTTTTGTGACCACATTTCTTCTATTCAGTATATTTCTCACATTCTAGTCATTTCACTTGAAATACTTCTCTCTTTAATAACGCATGTTTCTTGCATTTCAGACTGCATAGAAATCTTGCATTGATAAAAGTCATCAACAACAGCATTTCAGGTATTTCCTTATCCACATAAATACACTTTACTTCAAGCAGTCAAGGTGTCATCTTTCAAAGTTCATGTAGAAAATTTTACAAAATGCCTAAATGAATCTTATGGAGAGAGTGGTAGGGAATGGACTGGATTCTTCTGTCTCGGGAGAGGAATTGATGGTGGACTCTTGTGAACATGACAATGAACCTTGTGCCTTACATGAATATAAGGCACCATTTCTTGATTAGCTTCTCACAACAGCTCTACTGCATTTAGTCACTAACTTATCAACAGGTTCAGATACTGCTCAAACAATATTTCTTAACATATTAATTGTCCACCCAGAATTAAATATTTCAAGCATTAACCATTGTTAAATTATGCAGAGTGATGGACGGCTCATTCAGTACAGGAACTAGGCTATGGGCTGGACAAACGGGGTTCGATCCTGGGCAGAATTTCTCACCACATCATGACAGTCTCTTCCCTCAGTAAAGCCACTGTGTGAAGCTAACAACTGACCTCCTTCTACCGCCTATGCTAAGAATGAGTGGATCTATACCTCCATACCCCATGCGTCTGAGTCACAGCGTGGTGCTCAAGTCTTAGAGATAACTTCGCCTTGTCTTCAACACTATGCCGCCCGTGTGACTATCACTTCTACTATAACGCGACAGCAGTCCCCTTGAAACATCTCTATTTCCGGACTTTCCTAGTGGCCCTCTGCCACGTGTTGGGTCGGGTCACGAAAAATGTTCCCGAATATTTCCATCGCGTTGAATCCAAACAACACGAGTCATTATCAGAACTGACGGTATTTATATTCCTCTGCCTTTATTTCTCAACCAACATCCTTATTGCGTCTTGCACAGCTTTTGTGCTCGTCTCTTTTACTGGACCTGTCTTTTCGCTCTGCAATACAGGCCGGAACCCCGTTCAATTCCAGTTCCCTCTCGGATTTTGTTCGCATATATTCTAAAGCAAGATTTAAAAGCAGTGGCAATGAAACATGTTCTAGTCTCAGACTATTCTGAATAGGAAACTCATCACGCAACTTCTGATTTTTCGGGACATTTTAACAAGTTTAATCGGTACGGTATACCACATTTCACCCTCAGGGGCTCACATCTTGTGAGTACGGGAAGCGGCACTCCCGAGGTACCTGAGCTGCCCAATGCCTGGGGGTATAATTGGTCTACCCTGTCCCCAGGGGATATAAATTCGGGGACCTGGCCCTCCAGGTTGGGGGTTGGAGGTTGGGCGTGGGGCTGACAACACCACCCTGGAAAAAGTAATCCTGTTGAGAATCCCCCAAAAATGGGGCGGTCAAGGTCTGTAATAGGCTGTAGAACCCGTGATGATGATGATGGTACCACATTTCATGAAAATATTGTGCAACACGTTTCCTCAGAACTACAGCCTTTCCTTACGCCAGCTGCCCCATTGCAACACAATCTCTCGCCTAATTAGACGATTAACTTCGACTACGTCGAAATTCATGCTGACGACCACCGACAATCTTTTTGTATAGTTAAACGTCTTATTACTCGATAGTTACAAGTTTATTCGCGTCTTTTTAAAGAGATACAATTAAATTATGCTATTTACACTACACAGCAATTATTTCTTATTCGAATTATAATTTAGTTGATCGCACAATGCTTATTTCTACCTCACGTTTGTATTAGTTCTGCCGCAATTTGATCAATACCCTTTCATATTTCGGACAATCGCCAACTTAAAACAACTATATTCACTTACTAGTGGGTATTTGCAACGTCACCAACCACATGCAGATTTAATGAAGTGCATTTTATAATTATTCAAAATATTGCGGTAATCTACGTATAGACTGCATTATTTACTAAACTACTTCTAAATCAGCATGTTTCTACACACCTCTCTAATATGTCTGTTGCTCTAAGACCATTAATTGCATAATTAACTAAGCGTTATAAAAATCACAAACAGTATTAAAAAATAATGATAAAACAAGATTACACTGAAACGTCTTTAGAGTTGAAAATAATTTACTCGAAACTAAGAAACAGAGGTCATAGTAAAGTATAAGCTGCATTTAACAAGAAAACACTACGAAAAAGAGAAACATTTCCTTACTTACCAGAAACTGCGTTGCCTGCACCGGAGACAAGAGCAGAATGAAGAACCAGACCTCTAAAAAATGACGGTAAACCGGTCTAACAAGAACGGGGTTGAAAGTCGTTCTTGTTCATGACGGGGGCGGAAGGAAAATGGGGGTAGGGACCAAATGGTATCAAAACAGAACGAATGACAATGCACAAGGTGCATGTAAAGTCTCGCCACCCCAAATAAATGTTTCTGTATTATCAACAATGTTTAACTTCGCCCTCGAAGCCGAGAGACAATAATCCGCGTAGTATTTTCAAGGTTTCGACAAATAATGCAGTCGTCAGCTTCGGGATGGATGTATTTGGGGGGCTGTGTCTTTTTCTAGCGTTATAAGAATAGCAGTGCTGTTTTATAAACAAGAACACGATGCCTTCCTCACAGACGTTGATGGATGACCTCTTATCATCATAACCCAGAAGACCGCGTAAATGGAAGATCATGCCTGAAATTCTTAAAGACTTCCAAGAGCGGGCCCACACCGATAAAATGGCAAATTATTAAGATGGCTCTTTTGGGATGTTGCGCCGTGTAGTCTGGTGGACGTTCTGTTTTCTTTATACCAGCCGCCATGAGAACCTGAAAGCTCACCCATGACATTATGTTTTACCCTGGGATTGCGGGACTTTGTATGCAGCCTGTAGAACACGATCGAGCACAGCGGCTGGTAGGCAGAGGTCATACGGCATATACACGCTTCGACACACCTGGGGAAAATGGGGACTTGTTTTCTTTCTTTGTTTTTCGCGAACGACTTATGTGGCCGGAATCGAAAGGGGCTGCATTGTTTTACATAAATTTAACAAATGCTGTGACCACAGAAAACAAGCATCATCATCATCATCATCATCTGCAGACTAAGCTAAATAACATCATCTTGGGTAATCAGCAGCGTCAGATGCTTACACGAAGGGACCAACGTTTCTGGAACCATCTCTGCCCCCATCATGTCACATTAGAACGCTAATGATGGGGTAAGAGATAGTTCTAGAAACGTTGGACATTTTGTGACCACAAACTGGATTATTGTCACCACCATAAAAATCTGCCAAATTTTTACAAAAAAAACACCAAGTGGCTAAAGCTTTACACGAATTCAAATTACCATCGTCCACACAAACGCAAGCTGAGACTTAATAACAAAATGGCCGACTGAAGCCCCAATTTACGTAAAGACTGCATACATACGCGCTGTACCGGAGCAGGAGACATACAACCGGAAAAAAACTCGACTTGTCCAGAGGAAACCTCGGGTCCGGTGACCTGACAAGTTTCGCGGAGCACGCCAGGAAAGGCAAAGATGAATAACTCATCAAACGCGTGTCGGCAGAGATAACTAAGGGGCAGGAAAAAATATACGTCCAGTAATAAAACACTAAAAGCGAAAACTCAATAAATTAACCGAATGAAACCAAATCGCGGGGAGGAGGCTCCGCCACAGCCTGTAAATGGTCATAGAGAATTAAAACAAAGCTCAAAAAACATAAAATAAATGGTAGCGTCCTCTATGCGGGAATATATGAACCCACCTCATGCGCCATCCCGCAAAGAGGGCGCAAGAGGTTATTATCTGCTTGATGAACTTTTTCCGGCCCGGTAGATTAGTTCAAATTTTTGCCAGCAGATGGCGCTGCAAGTAAAATGTGTGTAACTTTCAGTTCCCGTGGATTGTATCTGGGGAATAGGATATGCGAGGAGGTATACGGGACAGAAAATTTTCGCGGGCCTATTAGTTCAAACCTTTGCCACCAGATGGCGCTGCAAGTAAAATGTGTGCAACTTTCAGTTCCTAGGATTTTATCCGGGGAATAGGATATGCGAGGAGGTATACGGGACAGGAAATTTTTCCGCGGGTCCATTAGTTCAAACTTTTGCCACCAGATGGCGCTGCAACTTAATGTGTGTAGCTTTCAATTTCCAGGCTTTGTATCCGGGAGGTAGGTTATGCGAGGATGTATACGGGCCAGAAAATTTTTCGCGGGCCCATTAGTTATAGCCTTTACTACCAAACGGCGCAGTAGCCCCCCCTCCAGGGGCAACAACATGACGCAATGCATTCGTATTGTGGAAAGGCATAAATTAAGGTTAACTAATCTCTTGCCGAAGTATGAACTACCTCTGAAATCAAAATAACATGGCTGCATTGCATTGCTAGCTATACGTAAAGATATGCGAGGAAGCATCAGGGTGCAAGTAACTGTAGGAAGTTTCTTATTAGCTATGTGCTATTGCCATTAATTTCCTGCACCCTCAACAAACTTTTAACTTTGCCTCTAGTGAGCAAAAGCATGCACCGATTTTATTTATATATTCGTAGACCAATTTGACTTAAATGTCTCTGCTTTTTGATGCTGTACAGCAAGTGTGATAATACCAACGTTCAAAAGGCATCTATTATAGGTGAGAATTTATATTTTTGGTATTGAAATTACATTCTTACATGTGCTTGTTTATAGTCATTACTTTAACACTGATAGAAAATATTCCTCTTTTTCCTTCTTCCCCAAGAAGTTTCTGCTTTATCTAGGTAGTCAGTCTGTTTCACTTAATAAAACTACAACCTGTGTGTAGGATTTGACATCTTCACATCGGTGAGTCTGAAGATTCCTGTCTTCTAGGTTGTGGCGCCAATCAGTCACAATGCTGTATTTGAGTTTCAAAACCTTACCTGGAATGATGTTTCTATGTATTTACCTGGTCAGTCTCACTAGGTTTGCATCATCAATTCTACTTTGATATGAGGTACCACACTCTTGCTAGGAATGCAGTACAAGCAATTTGGTAGGCTGAGAACGTAGTATCAATATTTTTCAGTAAACTGTGTAGGAATAGTGTCCATGCATATTCGTAACATGCAAAGTACAGCTTTGTATTTCTCAATGCTATCATACTAAAAAGAAGGGTAACTTTGTGGAGGCACTCTCACAATTTTATTACACCTACTTCCAGTGAGTCCCGAAAGCATTGAATGTGGAAGAAAAAGACGCCCGCCAACTGTCTCGATTTACAATCACTGTCTTTAAAAAAAAACGCCATGGTAAATTGTATTGGTACACAATTCTCTCATTGTAATCGAGCAGATATGTATTTCTGGGTGAAGTGTTATCCATGTTGTCGCGTAGGTACATTTTATCAGTAGCCTGACTATATCCCGGGATGTTGGTTACGCAGGAACACTTCTCGTCTATCAACGTAACCTCGCCGTAGAAGAATTGGATTCGTCGACACTTTTCGTTTCGAGACGTTATATAGCCTGATCATGCTGTAAACGTCGAAGGGAAACGGACAGGTATCTTTTATGCATGAGTCTTTGCGTGCTTGTAACAGACAACCGCGTTCTGTGACGTAATTGGATCTGATTGGAAATGCACGTTTTACCGGTGGGTTGGTGGGAACTAGCGTAGGGTCCTCCTTGGGAAGATTGGTAATCGCTCAGTTGGTCAACAAGGTTACGGAACTTGAAGCTTCAGTATCCTATATTCAGAAATCTGGTACATGATCCTATTCACACCTTCACACCCTGTTTTCTTTTAGATCAGTTTTAACATTATTCTCCCATCAATGTCATTGTCCGCTTGGTCACTTTCCGTGATGTCTTCGAATGAAATCGTGTGTTCTGTGTGCACCGTCAATCTCATCCGTCTTAATTTAGCTCACTAATATTAGGAAGAAACTAGTGAAGTGTTATGTATGGAGCAGAGACTCAGGAAGAGGGAACCGAAATACCTGGAGAGTTTTGAAATGTGGTGTTGGAGAAGAATAGAGAAGATCAGGTGGACGGATCGAGTGACCAACGAAGAAGTATTGAGGAGAGTCAACGAGCAAAGAAGCATTCTGCAGGCGATTACACGAAGGAAAGCTAACTGGCTGGGAGTCCAGCTCCAGAAGTCCTGGAGTCCTACACCACAAATTTTGCATGACCATTTCGTATGATGTGAAGTGCTGCATTGTACACATCAGCGAGATGTGCTCCTCACTGGCATGTGTTCGGCCTTATCGTACCATTTCTTGGGAACAATGTATGTTTTGAACCTATTTTGAGGTGCACGTACTTTCCTATACCTTGATGGACTTGATGAGGCTCCAATGAGTCCACTGGCAACAGACATGCTAAATTTCTTTAATGTCAGTGTTCAACATTTCTGACAAGGGATGGATCTTATACAGTTTGTCTTAATTCTGGTCATTTCTTGGTGGCTGAGCACCATTGTCATTCAAATGTAAATGGCCAAGGAACCATTCAAAACGATTTCTGCTCATTGCTGAAGCTATGAAAGTGTCTCTAATCATTTTGTCAGATGACCAATAGTCTTTATAGATTGGCAATTTTTTAATTCCCATAAAGATATTGATACCAATAATTTTTTTCATTTCTTTGTTATCCGCTGGTTGAAACTGTAGGCCACCACCATGCTTCTGTGTAGCATACAGGTTTGTTTGAAACACTAGATTATTTATAATGTCATCTGTAGACACACAATGGAACACATCAATAGGAGATTCACAAGTGTCTGATATATTTGCCCCAAACTCTTCACTAAAATCCCTCACTTCCAGTGGCATAACATGCTTCTGCCAGAAAATGACATTGGTTCCAAACCTGTTCGCTAGTGGCACATCATCTTTGCTGCTGGCACTAGTTTTGAATTCTGAGTGGTCCTTTTATTATACCTAATCTTATTATGCTCTTGCTATATCTGGGGGGGGGGGGCTATAGTTGGCACCTGGGGTTTTAGTGTGGGTGTGAGAGGGTCATTTGGATCCTGGATGAGCTCCTGAGGTGAGTTCTCTCTTTTCTACCCTTGCAAACCAACCTGGCAATGCACTGCACTTCAAGGGAGCAATATTTATCATTCATCACTGAAAACAGGACAGATATTTATTACAGGTTGCATTACTCTTACATTAAATTTCAACCTCAAAACATTGCTGTAATAGCACAATAATAAAAAATGAAAGTGACAGTAGAAGAATCAGGATTATATTGTATTTTCCAATGATGATTACAATCAGTCACCTCCAACTTATGATCTATGTCTCTCAAAGTACTCTTCACACCAGAAAAACAATGGACAAGTTTCTTTCTAAACAAAATACAGTTAAACATAAAAGTTAAATAAATGAAAACAGACAAGTTCCATCTGAGATCTCTCTGTCTGTTACTGATCAGGTGTTGTAGTGTATTAAAACAGTTCTGGAGCTCTCCAGATGGAACCCTACATGGTCATTTATCTTGGGAGAGAATACAAAGGTTTTTCAGCATGACATATTTCAAATATCAAAGATCCTTGTTCCTAATAGCATAATGCCAATTAAAATTTTGACATACTGTATTTACAATAATTTCACATAACTGTTTCAAACTTCTTTATGCAATGAAACCTCATTAATACAATTCTTGTCCCTTGAACCCGTCTCTAAGAGACAAAGTACCAGTCCTTGGAAGAGTATTTAAGGTCAAGGCCTGGCATATACAGTCAGACTCATAAGTTAACTTTTGGACCTTTAATTATAGGCACAAGTCAGGCTTATTATTTATAAAGAATTTTTCTCAGGCTACTAGTCATGTAAGGTGATTTAATGCAGAAAACACCAATATTTGGAGAACTGTCCTCAGGATGCTGATGACAGTGCCCAGAGGACAAAGATGGATCTCAAAACACTGGCGTTTTCTCTCTTAATCCACCTTACATGGCTGGTAGCCCAAGAAGAATTCAATATACTTAGTCGCCATGAAAGCTTCACATCATACAGGCTTATTATTAGTATACATATGACCCTGACTTAAAACGTGGAAAGGAATGTTTAAATGGCAATAGATATTGCTTACTGTGACTACTTATATTATTAATGCTACTAAATATTGATGGTAGCTGTAAACAGAATGAATGTATCCTCTAGTTTATAGGAGCAACTATCAACTTCTCTGTAAAAAAAACTAACATGTTGCAAAATACTACAGAGGACCTAGGACTTAGACACATTCTTGCACACGATATAGGAAAAGTAAAATGTTAGACATGAGAAATTTGGGAAGTTACATGGAAGACCTAGGTATAAATAGAACTTAAAGAAACAGTATGTGAGGATATGAACTGGATTCAGCTGATTCAGAATGAGGTTCACTTGTGAACATGGTAATAAAACTTCTATTAAAGATGGGGTGTTTCTTGAATAACTAAGCTGTTATTAGACCATCAAGTTGACTCCGCTTCAGAGTGTTAGATATTAGAAGGTATGAAGATGGCTGTCCTCTGGGTTGTTGCCCTGTATAAGTTTGAAAGTACTTTGTATGAAGCAGATTGTTTTTCTAGTAGATTAAGAAAGAGACATTTCTTATCATGTCCAAAGTAAGTCATGTGTACATGCTGATTTCATTTAAAAATTGCAGTTTTCTTGATTAGGGATGTTTCAGGAAACAATAATGGAAAGTAAGTTATATCGTCTGGTATGGTGCATAGTGGAACACCCATTTCATGTCCCTCAAATTGAGGTTCTATCTCAATTAATTTCTAATCCAAGATATTTTAGGTACTGAGTAAGGCATGTTGTCTGCAGTAAATAAGTTATAACTCTATTAGGAAATACAGTTTTCGCATAATTTGGAACAGCAGTAATGAAGTCTGAATGTACATTGTCACATTTTCTGCTATTTCATGTGGATGCAAATAAGGAAAGTATTTACTAAACCCACGGTCAAATATGCTAGCATACAGGTTTATGATATATAATATTTAAATTTACAAAATTGTTACTCCTCTAATTATTTTACTTTCTTACTGAATCTGACACCTTTTAAAAGAAATGAATGATTCTTTGAAGGACTGTACATTGCACTGCTTACACCTCATACAAAAAGGAATCAAAATTATTTAATTAATAACAAAATGCTGTGGGAAAGTTGTATTGTAATAATGAGATTTCATTATATGCTAGAAGGAAATTGCCACTGCATGTCTGTAAATACTGTTACACTGACCATATGTTGTCCAACAATGACTCTCTCCAGTCTAATTTAAAATTTGTAACATTATTCACTATCATACAGACAAAACTTTAGTAACATTCTTTTACACAGTAAGCAAACATAGAAATCACCTTAAGATTAGTATGACTTGAAAAGTTAAATGTTAAATATAAATAAATACATTATTTTAAGTAGCTTATATTATTATCACAAGAACCATTCACAATGCAGTCTTGAAAATTTGTGAGGAAATGTTTAACATTCTCACAGATTCACAGTGCAATTATAACAAAAAGTACCTAGAGATTTAATGGAAAGGCTTTGTATGAAGATGGCTGCCTTCTGGGATACTGTATAATCTGGTCTGGTAAATACTGACCAATATTTCAGGGGCCCTGAAATGCTGGTCCATTTACAACTTATAAATGTAGAGATGATATCAGAACAGGCTTTTGGCCTCGGAAAAAATGAATTTAGAAGAAAATCAGAAATTCATGACAGATAGTCTTGACACCAGACCTTATAATCCCCATAATATGAACCAAGAGTGACAACCACTATACTTACATTACCCACCTGGAGTAACACTGACACAACTTAGAAAAATTACTTGGGAGCAGTATATAGTTTTATTATGTGTATACAAGTAGCTAAAATCTTATAGGGACATGAATAGCCGGAAGTAAAGACACTTTAGACGTGACCTTATTACTCTCTGTTAAAGACAACTTTTACTTCTAAACAGTGCAGTACAGTATTTTAAGTTGTGGCCCTATTATTCTAGGCACAAGGCATCAGTATCAGTAATCACCACTTGATATTTTATAAATGAATGAGTATAACCTCCATTTTTGAAAACAAAATGCTCACAAAATGAATCATGAACTTGATTAACATTCTTTTCCTTGACTAAATCATTACACCACCACAGTATAACTCCAAATTAAATAACACTTTTCTCACTGCATATTAAAAGTTGACAATGGAACATAAGAGAATGTACACTGAAAGAGCACAATACTTTTATCAAAGACAATATCAACTTTTCACAAATCACTAGCTACATTAACAAATACTCTCATCAAATTCATTCCAAAATATTCTGAATATAACAATTTAATCAAATTTTAGTGAGAAGAGCATGTTACATAATTACTTCAATTTCATTACTAAATAATCAAAGTCTGGAATTTCTTTTCCCATATTACAATTGAACAAACTGTTCACCAACATTCAAGTTATAAATAAGGACTGCTTCTTTCCCACTTCATATATGTTTTTGTTCAAGTCACTATAAACGAAGTCTTTCCCTGTTGACTGCCATGTTGAACCAATGGCAGAATTGACGTACATGTTTAGTATGGATGGAATTTTAATCGGCCGGATATAAGTAGGGGCTTCCTTATGACTAGTGAAACACAAATACACAGGGAATGCAAGGTAAACAATCCTTATAGCTTTCCAAATTGTAACATCACTAAATGGCCAGGAAATACTCCACAGACTTCAGTTGTTAAAAATATAAACTGAACATGACATAACTACTTGCTATCTCTTCAGCTTTTGGTACATATTATCACTATTAATGTTTATCATATTGGAATGGGGGTTTTAAATCCCAGAACTATGAGGCTGTCAGCTACATTTAATTCTGATAGGAGTGTCATTGTAGCAGTATGCTAGTGACACAGGCATCTGGACCACATGTAAGCTATGATGCATGGCTCATAAAAGTTACGAAACACAACACTGGAGAACGTAGAAAGTTCAAAGTTTGAAGCAATAATGGGGGGAAATCCCTCGGGTTTCCCCAAGAGGGTGCAGGCCCCAGAGGTGGCCTAACCCCGTGTTTGGCCAAGCCTATGGTGGGTAGTCTGAGTAGTCCAAAATGTCATGGTGGAATCCCAGGGGTCTTAAGACCAATGAGGGCCAAGCATTTAATTTTAAAAGCACAGATGGGCTAGGCATAGGAAAGGAAGTGTGAGGACAGACCCTCTGAAGCAGCAAATATAGGGAGCACAGCAAGAATGCTGAGGACAGGCCTGGGTGTTAAAGCCATAACGGTTCCAAGCCATTCCGGCAGCTGTGGTACAACACCTGGAAGTGTCCCCAAGACCTAGATGATCTAACATGAGAAAGAAGGTATGATCCCAGGGGTTTCCAATACGCCAAGGTCAAGGATCAGGATATAGCAAACTCTGTGGGCAAAGCCTAGGGCAGAAGTGTAAGGGGGGGGGGGGGATATGGGGGGGGGGGCCC